ATCAGCATCAGCATCAGCACACTTATCACAATCACCATACTGATCGTCATCATGATCATCATCATTACCAGAACCATAATCATCATCAGCAGCAGCATCATCAGTATCAAGATCATCAACATCACCAGCAGCATCATCATCATAGTCATCGCCAGGATCATCATCAGAATCACAATAATCATCGTCATCAGCATCATCATCATCAGCAGCATCATCATCATAATCAGCATCCTCATCATCATCGTCATCCTCATCAGCATCGTCATGATGATCATCATCGGCACCAGCATCGTCATCCTCATCATTATCATCGTCATCGTCATCTTCATCATCAGCATCAGCATCAGCATCATTACCATTATCACAATCGCCATCATGCTCATCAGCATGATCATCACCATGATCAGCATCTTCATTATCATGATCACAATGATCATCATAATCAGAATCATCAGTATGGTCATCATCAAGACCATCAGTATCGTCATCATCAGAATCATCAGAATCATCAGCATTGTAACCATCATCACATCAAGACCATCATCATCAGCAGAATCATCATCATAATCATCACCAGGACCATCATCATAATCAGAATCATCAGCAGGGTCAACATCATCATCATTGTCACCATCATCGTCGTCATCGTCATCACCATCCTCATCATCACCATCATCATCATCATCATCATCAGCAGCATCATCTTCGTAGCCATCACCAGCATCATTATCATCATCATCTTCATCAGCATCATCATCATCATCGGCATCAGCATCGTCATCGTCATCATCAACAGTATTATCATCAGCATCTTCATCATCAGCATCAGTATCAGCATCAGTATCACTATTATCACAATCATCATACGGATCATCATCATGATCATAATCATGATCATCATCATGATCATCATCATGATCATAATCACAATCATAATCATAATCATCACCAGTATCAAGATCATCGTCAACATCCTCATCATCAGCATCACCAGCATCATCAGCAGCAGCATCTTATCATCATCACCATCATCGTCATCGTCATCCTCATCATCATCATCATCATCCTCATCATCATCATCATCCTCATCATCATCAGCAGCAGCAGCATCATCATCCCCCAACCCTTTCCCTCATCCGCCTCGCCCTCTCCTGCCCCTCACTTTCCTCTTTCTCTCTCTCTCTCTCTCTCTCTCTCTCGCTCTCTCACTCCGACTCCTCCTCTCTCCTTCTCCGTACTGCCCGCTCCGCCTCCTCCTCCTCCTCCTCCTGGTACTCCTCCTCCTCCTCCTCCTCCTCCTCCTCCTCCTCCTCCTCCTCCTCCTGCGCCCTCCCCTCCTCCCCCGACGGATGGGCGGACCCGCGCGGGGGCGGACGCGCAGAAGCCGCGCACGGGGGACGCGCGGGGCGCCGCGTCCGGCCTCAGATGCAGCAGGGCGCTCATCTGGCGCGCACGAATGCTTCTTTGTCCGGGGAAGACCTCGCCGCGCGCGGGGAGGGCAGGAAGCCGCGGGCGCCGCGGGACTGTCCCTGAGATCCGGGCGGCTGCGCAAACTCTCACGCCGGGCGTCTTCGCCCGGTTTGGGGCCCAGCCTGGGGCCATCACCGGCCGAACCAGCTCGAAACACATGCCGCAGGCAGAGGGGGCCCGGGGCTCCCGTCGAGCTTTCTCGAGTGGGGATGCTGCAACCTCTTTCGTGACGTCGGACCTCAGGAATGAGCGGCGCGAGGGCGCGAAGGGGGGGTGGCGCCAGGACCCAACGACTCGCAACCTTGCAGCTGAGCTCAGTCGGCGCCCCGCCTGCTGAAAAAAGCTCGGGCAGTCTGGCCCCTTTCTGGTCGCCGTGCGCGCTCTGGGGTGCAACGACCAGCCACGGTCCACGCCAGATGCTCCAGTGGGGCACGGCGTTGCGAACGAAGACGCCCAGCATGCCCCACAGAACGCGTCGAACAGAACCAGCAGTAGCCGCGCAGCGGCGGCCAGCGGCAACGCCGGCAGCAGTGGCGGCTCGAGCAGAAGGAGCGAGCGGCCGCAGCAGCAGCGGAAGAGGGATCGGCGGAAAAATGAGCAGCACGAGGCAAGGAGCGGCACGAGGCCAGCGAGACGGGGAAAAGCGGGAGGAAGGCTCGGTGGCAACTCATGCGAGCCGCCCATGCCATCTATTCAACGCCAAATCGACGCTAATCGAAAACTAATCGACGCTAGATCATAGATCGAGGCCGAATCTACACTCCCTCATCGATTACCAAACGCTAATCGACTCTAACGCACTCATTGCGAAGGTACACGAGGCTACCGTGATTTGCTTCCAACAGCAACACCGTGGGCGTGAGGAGAATCGGGCTCCAGGCTCCACATCGAGCCGCATCTCCGATGCTCAGCACGGGAGAAACGGGTCCTGAGGAAAACAGGTCCTGGACCCTGGGGCCTTCCCCCAGGACGAGATCTCCATCCTGACTCGTTCTCTGACAGTCCCCGGGCCCGTGGAGGGGCCCGAGAACCCGAAAATGGTGAGAAACCTCAGGACCCGCTTCTCTCGGGACCCGTTTCCCCCATGGCCATTCTCGACCCCCTCGACTCTCCTCCTCGACCCCCCCCCCCGACCCTCCTCGACCCTCTTCCTCCTCGATCCCCCTCGCACCTCGACCCCCTCCTCGACCACCTCCTCGATCCTCCTCGATACCTCGGCGAGATCCTCCGACCCCACCTGCTGCTCAGACGTCCGATGTCCAGTTGGATGCCGGGGCACGGGCCCTTCGGCGGGGGCAGCAGCGGCCGCGGCCAAGGGGCGGCGGCGGCGCGGCGAGGAGGGCCGGGAGGAGCCGCGGCCTGTAGGGCCGAACGCTGCCGGCCGACCTCAAGCGGCAGGGTGGGCTCGAGCCGAGCAGCCGCGCGCACGCCGCCGGGCCAAGGCGCGCACACGCGCGAGCCGCGCAGCGGCCGCGTCAGGGCAAGCCGGATCGAGCGAACGAGGGACCACCCAGGCGGCAGCAGCAGTGCGGGCCTGCTCGAGACCAGGTGGGTGAGGCCGTGGCCTCCGAGCTACTGCGGTGCAAGTATGGTGAGGCATGCGCGAGAGACAGGAAGGGGAAACGGGAGGAGGGAGTTCCTCCTCCTCCTCCTCCTCCACCACCTCCTCCTCCTCCTCTTCCTCCTCCTCGGGAAGCGAGGAAGGGAGGAAGGGGGGGGCGGCAGGCCGGGGGGGAAGGAGGAGGCGGAAAGGGCACAGGAGGGCCGGGAGGGAGAAGGTTGTGAAGGAGAGCAAGGACAATCAGAGGCCAAGGGGAGGAGGGGGGAAGGGAGGAAAGAATGGAGAATGGGGATGGGAGGGATGGGGAAGGGTGATGAAAATAAAACCAGTGCCCCACACGACTCATTCTACTAAACCGTTTCCTCTGCGCCCTCGTCCTCCTCATCCTCATCCTGAAATAGTGCAGGAAGGAAGGGAAAAGAGGAAATCCAGTCGCGTCCTGCGCAAACTCCCCAACCCATTCATCGAAGGCACGGCTCCCAGAAATCATCCAAATCCCAGTGGTCCAAACCTGACGCGAATAGTAACACGTGGGCATTCGTTTTTATATCAGCGAAGATGAACCTGAGCATAATCCAAAAACCCATCCAGTCCATGGCCCGTGTGAAAGCCGAGGACGTCGAGCGATGTCCACACGATTTTACCTCAAGCACACCTTACACAACCATGCACAAGTGCACTGTTTCCGAATGTGTCGGATACCCTTTGGAACGGGGAGAGCAGGGAACAGCATCGCCGCATAAGCACTGCGTAACAGCACGGATAACGGCCGAAACAGCAAGAAGCATGCGTACCCGTCACCAAAGCTTGGGTACATGCACCAAAACAACAATAGTTTATTTGTTATTGACTACACCATGCCCCTATCATGAACAATGATCACACAAAGGCCCGCGTAATATCAGTATCCTTGCCCGAACACCTGCACGTACAAACAATGCCAGACCGCTGTTCTCAATCGTTCGGCCTCAAAACTTACACAATACCAAGACAGGAGTGGGACAGGGATCGCCGTAGAGATGAGAAGATACGAGGATGCGGGCATACGGCGGGGACCTAGGTCGAAACAGATACGTGCAGAAAGCGGCAGGCGAGTATGCACACACACACACACAAGTATGCACATGTACATACACAAACACACACACTTCAACAGGACCGCCGCAACCACCTGAAGCCCTCCCCGGTCGGGACGGGGGGTGGGAGGACTATGACGTGTTCTCTCTCTGCCTCCCCCTGTTTCCCCTTCCATGACCTCTTGCACCACCCTGTCTTCCCGCGACAACGGACGGGCGACACAAACGACCGCGCGCCATGTGTTCCCTTTTGTTGGCCAAAACACAGAATTCAATACCACCACCCACCACTGCGGCACAACGATTGTTATGCGCGGCTTGATTGGTCGGTGAAACTTGACGATGCAACACACAAACACACACCTTTGGTCGGCGGGTCGGGAGCGGGCCCCTTCCGGTTAGGAGCTAGGCGGAGCGCGCGAAGCCCAAATTGGGGAGACAGGGCGCGGGCGGACGGGGCCTCAGACACACATACACACACACACACACACACACACACACACACACACACACACACGCACGCACACACACACACACACACACACACACACACACACACACACACACACGCGCGCGTTGTTGTCGCATGCGTTGTGTCGTCCAGAGAACACAATTCCGCATCTCCCCCCCCCCCCATCCCCCCTCCACAGCCGCCCCAGCTCCTCCCCCAGAGAAAATCAGTCACGCGTGTACAGATTTTTCCAGGCCACCGCAGATGCTGGCCCGCGCGCGGGAGGTGCTCGGCCGTCACGCGGCGACCCCCGGGAACGCCGCCCCGCAATCGACGCACGTCGAAGCGACGCCCGAGACGCTGGGGCCAGAAAGAACCCAAGGGCGCGGGCAGCGAGAATGAGGAGGAGGAGGAGGAGGAGGAGGAGGAGGAGGAGGAGGAGGAGGAGGAGGAGGAGGAGGAGGAGGAGGAGGAGGAGGAGGGGGGGAGGGGGGGGGGAGGAGGAGGGAAGGACCTCCCCATCCCCCGCTCTCCCCCGTCCGACCTCTGGTCGCAGCAGTGGACACTTGGCCTGGCTCGCCTGTCCACCAGGGGCCGCCAGCCCGCGGCAGGCCACCCAAACGGCCCACCCCGGCACGGCGCGGACGGCCAGGCCGGCGAGAGGTCACCCGGCGCGCACACGGCCGGCGGCAGCCCCGCCGAGGCCGGCCCGGAACCTTGCACGGCGCGGCACGCGGCCGCCGGCGCGCACCGGCAGAGGACCTGCCCGGCTTCGCAGGCGCCTGGCCGAGCGGCCAACGACAGGCAGACGAGGCGACGCGGGCGACAGACAGCGGCAGAGGAGGGCGGCGAAGGCGGCGGCGACCATACTCCATAGCTTGTCAGAAATCCACCGCACATATACATATGTGCTTAAACATTTCCAGGACTGTGTCTGCCTGTGCCCGCAACAAGATATCACCGAGCTCCTCGCCGCCAAGATGGAATGCGAACCTCACCATCGATGATGATCCACGGATCTCACATACGGCATACCAGAGCGCCTCAGCGCCAACTCGGAAAAGAGGAGGTTGGCAGAAGCAAGTGGAGCCACGAGCACCATCGTGGAATTCAGCCCTGGTTTGTGAGCACCTGCGTCAAATCCCGAAGCCCTCAACGCCCTCTACACAGCATGTCTCTCCAACGCATTCAAGAAAATGCTCTGGAAAGGAATTTCTCACTCCTATGCACTTTACCTTCACTGACCCAGACTCGCCTTGACCTGTCTGGACTAAACCCAGAGATTCTGAAGTCCTCTAAACAACCCTGGCGTTGAAGAGCACATACGACCACAAGCGCAACAGCGACTTCCAAGGGGCTTGCTGCTCAAATCACAAAACCATGCCCTTCTTCAGTACCAGCCAGGCCATGATATCTCTTGGACAAATCGCTGTAAATGCCCCACAATGCGGTAGCGAAGAAATGCTCCGAGCTGAGAGTCCATCTGAAAATATGGTTGATTATGTTCACCTTGTTCCGTGCCCGATCATGGAGCTCGGTATCGTCAGGCGCGGGCTTAAACAAACAATGCTGGATGAATGTCTTACTTAGCGCGGTGGTAGTCCACTCCTTCACTTCATTGTTGACCGCATACTCGTTCAGCCAGTACTCGATCAGCGGTCGAGTTGCGTAAACACCTGCGTGCGAGCCAATTGCAAGAGTAGCCTCATGTTGTCATCTTCCAGCAAGCGCACCACTTTCTTCTGCGACGCCGCAATTTCCTTCCATGGTTCTAGAGCCTCCACCAATGTTGCTTGCAAGCTACGCTGGATTCTCTGCCGCAGAGGCTCATCGCCCTCCCCCACAAGTCCATCTAGATCATCAGCACTACCAAATCCACCCAAGTGTGCTCACAAAAACTCTAGCCATCACGCCCATATTCAAGCAGACTTTGCAATCCATGATGCGTTACGTAGGACGTAGGCCGAACCATGGCATGGACGAAACTCAAAGCACACATTAAAAAGGACGCCAAGGCTACTTTATGGATCGGCACCTACTGTGCATTTGACAACTGATAAATATGCCATGTCTCCATATTAGCCCCCATGCGGTATACGAAAGAGGGTGCAATCAAAATGGTACTATAATTCACCCCAAACGTAGGAACGCACAGCAAAGTAAATGGTCAATTAACATACTGTGTAACCACCATGAAAACACCTAAAAAACAATAATCCACCGATCCGGCGCGTGACAGGTTTTCTAGAATCTGCAAAACTTGGTTCAACTGAGCCTCTGGGGGGCGACGCCGAGGAGACTCTGCCGAGACAGGGGCGGGGGGGGGAGGAGGGTTTCCCCCCTCTTCCTTCTTCCCTCCTTCTCCGTTTCCGGTCCTCTCTCTCGTTCCGCCCCACCCTTGGAAAATATTGGCGCTGCGAGGGGGGCGTAGTCATTGACGCCATGGGCGCCGCGATCTCCAATCGTATCCCAATGGCCAATTTGGGCCACAAGACGCGCCACAACTGCTTCATTGCTCTCTCTCTCAAGACTCTTCCAGAATTTCATGTTTGCACGTTTAACCGGTGCGAAACATGCAATTCCACTTCTTCGTTGGAATCTCATCGTAGACGTCGCCGAGGCGCTCCCGGATGCTCCCGGGAGGCTTTCCAAGCGGTCTGGGAGGGCGGGGCCTGAGGATCTCCAAGAGCCTCCAATCATGCCCAGAAGGCTCATTATTTTCTGGCCCTGAACGCAAACTTCAGCCGATCAACGGGGGGACAAGCGCCTCGGGGCTATGAGGATCCATTTCGGACGATGTTTGATTCACTTTTTCGGGGCTGCAGGCAGGCCATGGTTCCCACTTACCGGAGAGTACGGCCTAGGCCGCAGCCAGTCACTGTGGAGACGTCTGAAATCTCATGCTTCGAAGGCTCGGAGGCTACTGCCGGACCCTCGTAGAGCTCTTAACACGCAAAATAATGCTCAGATTACGAGGATGGAGCTCTCTTGAATATCAGCTTCAAAACCTGCTAAATGCATTTGAGTTGTATACGATGTCGGTTCCGCCAACTGTTTTGATAATACTGCAGCTATGGACCTGAGAACTTGACAGGCGCGGCATACCTACTGCAGGTACGGAAAATACTGCTTCTCAAAACGAATTGTCAAATCTCTCAGAGCTCCAAAAAAACGACCCCAGGCCGCAACTGGACCGGGTGGGCCAACTTGGAGCTGGCGATAAACCGTCAACCAGGTCACCGCCCGTAGAGCTCTCAACACCCAAATGAGTGCTTAGACTATGAGGAGAAGCTTCCTCGAAACTCAGCTTAAACTCTTGCAACTGCATGTTTCTGTTTTATACGAAGTCGGTTACGAGACTCAAAGTTTGACAAGACGCGGCATAACCTACTCTAGGTGCGAAAATACTGGTTCTCAAAATACACGCCTCCCCCCCAAAGCAAAAACACCCAGGTCGTCACATTGTCCGTTCGGGCCGGGTGGGCCAACTAGCTCCAGCCCGCGCCAGGATTCCTGCGCATCTATCTCGCTGCGACCGCAGCGCAGGATTTGCAGTGCCTTTACATACCTCGAAAGCTCTTCGGCATCGATGAGCTCGAGGAATTCCAAGCGGGGTCGAGCCAGATCAACAACCCGGCCAGGGTGGAGCACGCGGTGATCTGGGGTCGGGTTTTCGGAAGATTCAGAGAGACCCTTACAAACAAAAACAACACAATTGTTTTTCACGCGTAGGTTATTTCGCGTCTGCCTGTCAAAGTCTCTGGCACGTAGCGGAAGTATTGCTATCGAAAAACGTGGAGGAAGAGACTTCCTGTATAATCATAGAATGCGTTATTCGAATTTTCAACCCTATATTCGAGGAAGGTTCTCCTTGTATTCTGAGCATATAGGAGATCCTGAAGCGCGAATAAGTGCACACATGACGATTTTATTTCTTTTTAAAAATTTCTTTATGTAAATATATATATATATATATATATATATATGTATATATATATAACAAAAAAATCTCGAGCGCTAGCTCTAGAACATCCAAAGTATTTCGATAAGCACACTGCAGCTACAAACCTGAAAATTTGACAGGCAGACGCATCATAACCTTCCATTGATGCGAAAGATACCGGCTCTTAAAAAGAACTGCTAAACCGCTCAGAATCTCCAGTAGACCGACCTGATGTTCCCACATTTTCCGCCCAGACCGGAGGCCAACTCGCTCCCCTGCGCCGGAAATCCTCTAGCTTATCGGAGCCGAAAAGCTATACGAGGTGGATATTATAGCGCAGAGACGCCTAATCCTGTTCGTCTGAAATAGAAGGGCCAGCTCAGAAAGTATCCAAGATGCAAGAACTGAGCACGGCACGAAGACAGACTTAAACAGGATTCGCCATATATCATCGGGAGCGGCCGGTAAACCGTCAACCTTGGTTACCGCCGGGAACTCGTAGAACGTCCTCGATATACATGAATGGAATGCGGGCGCGGTAATCTCGCATTCCGCGCGCGCGAGGGCGCGGCTTCATGGAGGAGGACGCGGAGGAGAAGAAGAAGCGAGGAGGAGAAGGAGATGGAGGAGGATGAGGAAGAGAAGGAGGAGGAGAAGGAGCAGGCGGAGGAGAAGGAGGATGACGAGCAGGAGGGGAACGGGTGGAGGGGGAGAAGAGGGACGATGATGATGATGATGATGAGGAGACGGAGGAAGAGAAGGAGCAGGAGGAGGAAGAGGAGAAGGAGAAGATGGAAGGGGAAAAGGAGGAGGAGTAGGGGGACAAGGTAGAGGACGAGGAGCAGGAGTACGAATATTTTTTGGGTTCCAGCTCTGGCAACAGACCAATTCCAAACATGTAGATACTTGCAACCAGCGCCCCTGATGATGTTTGTTCAAATTCCGAGAAATTGAATTTTTAACCGACCAGAATTATGCAAAACTGGGACCCGGCTGTAAACCGTCAACCTTGGCTACCGCCGGGAACTCGTAGAGCTTGCTCACGATATACATGAGCGGGATGCGGGCGCGGCAATCTCGCATCCCCCGCGCGAGGGCGCGGTTTCATGAGGAGGACGTGAAGGAGAAGAAGAAGAAGTGACGAGGAAAAGGAAAAGGAGGAGCATAGCGAGAGGGGAAAGGATGAGAAGGAGAAGGAGAAGGAGAAGGAGAAGGAAGAAAGAGGGGAAGGAGAAGGAGGAGGAGCAGCCTATGAAGTCAGTACAGGCTATATGTATATGTATTTGTATATATACACTTATAAATATAAACATATATACATACACATACATAGATTATCTCTCACCAAATAGTGCAGAGTGCTCAATTGTAGCTCTGGTGGCAGACCAATCTCAGACGTCTCGTACTATTGGCGACGATTTGACGATTCCCTCTTGGGCAGTGTCCTTTCCAGCTCGCTACTTGCCCATAAATTGCGCACAGAAATCCAACACCCTCTAGTACGATTGGTTTTTTGGTTCCACTAGCGCTCCGGATGATGCTCTTCCGATTGATGTGCCAACAGCTCTGCAGCTCGAGCTGCATCACGAAAGGCATCATCATCTCAGACAAATCAGCAGAGCACGAATAGTTGATTGGTTCCAACTCTGGTAACAGACCGAATTCGGGCATCGAAATACTGGAGACTAGCGCTCCTGATGGTTGTCTTTCGATTGTTGTGCTGAGCAGCTCTGTAGCTCATCTGCAGCTCGAGTTGCATCAAGAAACTCATCATCATCTCTGAAAAATTAGGGTTGTTCGGACCCAGCTAGGGTAGCAGACCGAGTTCGGGCATCTAGATACTTGAGACTATTGCCCCCTGCGGTGTCCGTTCGACTGCTCGAAGCTATCTAGCACATCTGCAGTTCAAATTACGTCAAGATACTCATTATCAT